AAAGCATCCAGTCTTCTGCCGTTAGTGTGATGTGAACTACGGGCTTTTTGTAGATACTTCCTATCAAGTTGAGGAAGCTCACTTCTATTCCCATTTTTCTATGAGTTTCGATCATAAATGGCCATTGATTTTTTAAGAATATAATTCACATACCATAACATTTTAAACAAACGTAGTTGTTCTTAGTATATTCACAATGATGTGCAGCCATCAACGTTAATCCCGGAACATTTTCATTACCCTGAAAAGAAACCCTGTACCCGTCAGCAGTCCCTATTCATCCCTTCCTTCCCCACACACTCTGGCAGCCACTACTTTCCTTTCTGTCTCTATGGATTTGCCTATTACGGACATTTTATATAAATAAAAACCATACAACATGTGGCCTTTGTACCTGACATCTTCCATTTACCAGAATGCTTTCAAGGTTCGTCCATGTTGTAGCAGATATCAGTATTTCATTCTTTTTTAAGTCTGAGTAATACTCCATTGCATGATGATACCACATTTTGTTTATTCATTCATCAGTTGATGAACGGGTGGGTTGGTTCCTTTTTTGGTGGGGGTATTATGAACAATGCTTATAAGAACATTTGTGTGCAAGTTTTTGTGTGAATATATGTTGTCAGTTCTCCGGGGCATAGGAGTGGAATTGCGGGGTTACATGAAAACCTCATGTTTAACGTTTGGAAGAATTGCCGAGTAATTTTCCACAGTAGTTGTACCATTTTATGCTGCCACCAGCAATGTGTGAGGGTTCCAATGTTTCCATATCTTCACTAATACCTGTTATCACCTGTCTTTTAGATTTTGGCACTGCTAGAGGGTGCAAACTGAGATATTATTGCGGTTTTGATTTGTAGCTCCTCAATGACTAATGATATTGAGCATCTTTTCATGTAATCATTGGTTATTTGTATATCTTCCTTGGAGAAGTGTCTATTCAAATCCTTTGCTCATGTTTTATTGGTTTATTTATCGTTTTATTATTTAGTCATAGGAGTTCTTTATATACTTTGGATGTTACACCTTCATCAGATATATAGTTTACATATATTTTCTCCCATTCTGTGGGGTGATGTCTTTTCTTGCTGTCCTCTGAAACACAAAAATGTTTGATTTTGGTGAAGTCCAATTTATTCATTTTTTCTTTTGTCACTTGTACTTTGTCGTTACAGCTAATAAACCATTGCTCAACCCAAGGTCACAAAGATTTACCCCTACATTCCCTTTTAAGGGTATCATAGTTTTAGCTCTTATATTTAGGTCTGTGATCCATTTTGAGTTAATTTTGTGTATGGTGTAAGGTAGGAGTCTCACTTCGTACTTTTGCAATGGATAACCAGTTATCTCAGAAAAGATTCTTCATTGCTCATTGGATTATCTTGGCACCCTGTTTGAAAATGAATTGAACACAAATGTTAGGGTTTATTTCTGGACTTTCAATTCTATTTCATTGATCCATGTCTATAGTATACATTTTTGATGACTATAGCATGACAGAGAAGTTTTGAAGTTGCAAAGTGTGAGCCCTCCAACTTAGTTTTTTAAAAGATTGTTTTGGTTATTATAGGTACTTTGAATTTCCATATGAATTTTAGAATCGGCATGTTAGTTCCTGCAAAAAGGCAGCCGGGAATTTGATAAGGATTGCATTAAATCTGTAGATGAATTTCAGGAGTATTGCCAGTGTTTAGCTGGAGTAGAATGGTTACTATCTAAGAGTTTCCTGCCGTGCTAGGCTGCCCTTTCCTGGCTTTTTTCTTTCTAGACAGAGCAGGCTTTTTTGGGGGGGGTGTCTTTTCTATTAATCTGCTCCCATTGGCATTTTAGGTTGCTGGCTTCTTCAGCTCCAAGTCTGGGATTGGAGCCAAAGAAAACCCCAGGAACTCACCACCGCATCATTTCTCAGGCCCTGAGCTCCCTAGCCAGCCTGCCTTCTTCTCTCCATCTGTTAGAACCTTGTTAGATTTTTTTAAAAAGCTGTTGTTAGTTGTGCTTTGTGTAAAGAATAGGCAAGAAAGAGTGCATGTACTCTATCTTCTTGGAATTGGAAATCAACTATAAGTTTTCCTCAACTTTTCCACAGCTACCTGATCTGGGTGCATTATCGCCTTTTCTCCGCAATGTTTGTTCTTTTCGCAAATATTATTTCTTCATTGTTCTCACTGAGCATTTCAAATAGGCTTAAACCCTTTACTGTAGACTATTATTTTAATTTCATCTGGAGTTAATTCATTTATGATTATTGTTGATTTTTCTTCTTAGCATTGGATGTCTTTACCGGCTTCAGAGTTTTCGTTTTGAGGCTCATTTTGGGTTAAAAGGCTTTCTCTTTCTCAGACCCCTCCCCCTTCTAGAAGTTTGGGGTCACTTCATTTGATGCCCGGTCTGCAGCAGAGAAACATATTTTCCATTGGTGCTTCAGAATTCTAACCCTCTGTGGTTTGCTTGTCAAGCCAGGTGGCAAGAGAGTCATGAAATTGTGTCTATGTTCTCCTTTGTCCCCTCCCTTGCCCAGGGCCACACCTTCACATAAGCTGTTGCCCCCATGAAGCAACTGAACCAGATTTTTCAGACTTTTGTTCTGACATAAGGATGACCCCTCTCTCCCAGAGCCTGTGGCTTCAGATACAAAGCCTGGCTCTGTTCCCAGCCTTGTGTTCCTATTACGCCCCAGGACCCAGAGCCCAGCAGGCCCATGGCTTTGTCAATCCTCAGCAGTTTGTGTTTCTGGACCATAGTAAAGTTTTTGAGCCCGCCTATATCCGTTCAATATTTTCTTTGTGTAGCTTATTGTTGTTCTGCGAGAAGAGACAGGCACCGCAGAGCATGAATCATGGCATCATCTGGATCAGAAACCAAATACTCTTCCTCTGTTTTTCTTCTTTTTAAAATTCTTAAAATTTTTATTTTGCTCTATTTTTATGGGCTGCCACCATATAGTCTATTGTAAATAAAGTGAAATACAAATACAACTACATGTTTCTTCAATTTCATGTTTTATCATTTCTGAAATTAGAGTGCACCTTATAGTCAATGTACCTGGGAATGTAAGATTTGTGGTGCGAACCACACCTGAAATTGCAGCAGACATTTCACTCATGGGCCCAGCATCCAGGGGTCTGGGAGGTGCAACCCTGGCCCTGAGGGCAGAGACTGATGGGGCGACTCGTGGGAGTAGCCGGGATCCCCAAGTGTGTTTGGAAGAACTGTGAGGGGTAGAGGGCTCCAGGTCTATTTCTGCTTTTGAAGTCACTGACCTCAGTCAAGGTTAACAATTTGGAAGGTCTCATGGAATCAGTTTAAGGACACAGTCTTCCTTCTTTCCCATCTTATTTCATACCCTAGAAGTTTTCAGCCGGCCACAAAAAAGTACACACTTTGGCCCACTGGGGGTGTGTGTATCTTCTCCAATTCTAACGCCAGTTAGAATGCCCCAATTCCCATATCACAGAGTGAAAACTGTAGGTGTGAGTGAATCTAGCTCTGGTCTGGGCCTGCCTATGGAGCCCAGGTGGCTGGCAGCAGCTTTAGCTTTAGCCTCCTTGAATACCCTGTCCTCAAAAGACTGGTGTGGTAGGTGTCTTTTCTCTCTAGCCATGCTGCAGCTTGGAATTGACTGCTCAGAACCAGCGCAGCAAGGCCAGGCTGGAAAGGCATCCAGATCCTGAGTCAAACAGTTCATGCCCTTTGGCCCAGTAATTTCACTTCTTGGTATTTGCCCTGGGGAACCCGGCAGAGAAAGGGGCTGGGATTTATATACAAGTATGGCTTATAAAACTTTAGCATGGAAAACAAGATGGAAATCTATCACAAAGGGCACGGTGAAATAAACTGTGGTACCCCATTTCAGAAGGACACTAGGCAATAACTGAAAATCATGCTTTTGAACTATCTTTAACAGGAAAATACTCAAAATTCAATGTGCTACTGAGGTTACAAAATAGTTCATACGGCCCCAAAATTAATATTTTGTAATAGACTATCAGAAAAAGGACTGGATGGAACTTCAGAAATACCAGCATTTGCCCTTTCTAGGTGGGGACTGTGATATAAAGCAGGATTTTTTGACTTCTCTGACTTAAGACTTGCTACAATGAATACAGATTACATTAAACTTATATTCAAGTTACAACGAGAAGAAAAGTAAACTTTATCAGAAAACTAATTACGACATCTACAAAAACAGCCTAGCCAGCAGCCTTGGGAAGAAACGCACAGAGAAGTCCAGGTTGCTGATAATAAAGTAACAGCAACCACGGTCGTCGCCGATTGGCTGCGAGGAAGCACGCGCCGCAGACCGGGGGGCGGAACTATGCCCGCCACTTCCGGGGCGGGGCCTAGGCCGCCGCGGCGCCCTCCGGAGCGGGCGGTCTCCATGGCAACCAGCGGGGCCCGAGCTAGGCCCGCCCGCAGCCGCCGCCGCCGCCGCCACCGCCGCCACCGCGCCGGCCCCGCCCGCACAAAGGCCACGGCGTGACCCGCCCCCCGTCGCGACCCTGGCCCCGCCCGGCTCGGGCCTTGCACCTGCCGAGCCCTCAGCCGCCGCCCGGCCGAGCTGACCGGGAAGCAGTTGTCGGAGGCCGCGGGTGACTCATCGGCCGGGCCGCGTCCGCCGAGCGGGCCATCTTGGTGGCGGCCGGCGCGGCAGACGGAGCCGGGAGGAAGCGCGGGGACCCAGGTAGGCGCCCCGCCCGCCCCCGGGGCCGCAGCCGCGCGGGGGCCCGCTCTGCTCTCCCCCGAGGGCGCGGTGGGGGCGCTTTGTGCAGGCCGCGCCGCCTCCCCGCTCCCGCCCGCGCCCCGCCGGAGGCCGGAGCCTTAACAACATGTTTTCTCAATCCTCAGGCCCCGCGACGAGCGCAGATCCGGCCGGCGCCGCGGCCTGCGGGCCTGCAGAGAGGAGCCGCGATCCTCGGCCGCCATCCCCGGGCCGCCCGCCGGGCCCTGTGTAGGCCCCGCCCGCCTGCTCGGCCGCCTGGCCCCGGTCGCCCCGCGCGGCCCGGACCTCCGCGGGGCCCGGCTCCGCCTCCGCCCCCCAGGTCCCGACTCCGCACCCGCACCTTCGCCCGCCGGCCCGCGCCGGCCCTGGCCAGCATGGTCCAGCCGCAGACGGCCAAAGCCGAGAGCCCGGCCTCGGCTGCCGCCTCCAGCGCCCAGATGGACGACGTGATCGACACCCTGACCTCCCTGCGCCTCACCAACTCTGCGCTGAGGCGGGAGGCCTCCACCCTGCGCGCGGAGAAGGCCAACCTCACCAACATGCTGGAGAGCGTGATGGCCGAGCTGACCCTGCTTCGCACCAGGGCGCGGATCCCGGGCGCGCTGCAGATCACCCCGCCCATCTCTGCCATCACCTCTAACGGGACCCGGCCCATGACCACGCCGCCCACCTCTCTGCCCGAGCCCTTCTCCGGAGACCCGGGCCAGCTGGCGGGCTTCCTGATGCAGATGGACAGGTTCATGATCTTCCAGGCCTCCCGCTTCCCGGGCGAGGCCGAGCGAGTGGCCTTCCTTGTGTCCCGCCTGACGGGGGAGGCGGAGAAGTGGGCTATTCCCCACATGCAGCCCGACAGCCCCTTGCGAAACAACTATCAGGGCTTCCTGGCAGAGTTGCGGAGAACCTACAAGTCTCCGCTCCGCCATGCGCGGCGCGCCCAGATCAGGAAGACCTCGGCCTCCAACAGGGCTGTGCGGGAAAGGCAGACGCTCTGCCGCCAGCTGGCCGCGGCGGGCACGGGGCCCTGCCCGGTGCATCCAGCTTCCAACGGGTCGAGTCCGGCGCCGGCTCTGCCCACCCGAGCACGGAACCTTTGAGAATCCGCCACCACCTTGGTAGCATCTGCAGCCACCCAGGTAGCATAAGCTCTCTGCCGCTTAGAAGAAATGTCCATACAGCAGCATCGCCCCTGTTTGAAGATGTCCCCTCCTGCCTCTCCAGACCTGTTCCACAAGGAGAACTTCCTTCCATCCCTCTGGGTGGCCTGGTCACCCACCTCGCTGTGCTTCCTGTTACTGTGCACCAGCTCTGTACCTGCAACTCGTTGCTTGCTTCCCTCCCTCCCGCTTGCACCCCGGCTATTCCAATGACTGCAGCTCTGCTAATCGGGCACACCGCCCCGCGCTCGCTGACCGGCCCCTCCCAGCCTAACTCGATTCCTGGACACTCATACTCTGCCCTCTGCAGGCTCCCAGGACAGCTTCCCACCTGGTCGCCCTGTTCTCGCTGATGAGCTCTGGACAGAAAGAAGCCACTTTGGCCAGGCTGGTGGCTTGATGGGTGCACTTGGAGAGGGGGGTCTGGCTCCCCATCCACAGGTGATGACCAGCCCTGCCAGGGCCCAGTGTATCAGGCAGGGGTCTCATCCCTGCTGTCAGTGGCCAAGTGGTCACTGCTAGGAGTGCAGTTCTAGCATTTCTGGGGGGCAGGCTTCACTCTGTACGTGCCCCATTGCTGCCACTAGGAAGGACTGATATTGCAGCTAAAGGGAGAGTCTCCCAGAGGATGCCCCTCCCGTAGTGCCTGGCTTTAGCTGCCAGTGTTCTGGTAGCACCAGGAATTTTGGGAATCTGGAATTTGCCTGCTTAATAAGGTTATTGTGGACTTGGACCACTGGGCAATTCCATCAGGCAGCCATGGGTAGCTGATCCATGCACGTCCACACCTGAGGGCCACAGCAGACTGGGGTGGACACCAGTGACTCAGTTTGCTGCCTGGCATTTCCAGTGGGCAGCACTGCAGCTGCTGGTGTTCAGTCGCCCCCTCCTCTGCCCCCTGTCACTTGGTGTTGGGCCTTGCCTAGTTTGAGACCTGTTTCCTTCTCCATTCAGGTGCCATGTGGCCTTCACTGCAGCCCCTTCCACTGCTCACACCATCTCTAGGTCTCCAAAGACGCCATGTAGCATGCCCTCCCCATTCCTGGGTGATCAGATGTCCAGCCTTTGTCTAAGAGAACTGACTCCCTCTCACTCCTGGAGGCCCAACTCCTCTGGGAAACATCCTGAAGCACTTAAGGAAGAGGGGTATCTGCCTCTGGGAACTCCAGCCAGGGTCTCAGTGGCATTTGTAAAGACAAAGAGCTGCAGACTGCCATGGTCCCAGTGTGGTGGCAGTGCAGAACTGGCACTCATGTCCCTGTTCTGAGGGACCTTTTGCTTCCTCACAGGGGGATAACAAAGAAGTCACTTTCTAACTGAGCTTGGCCAAGCCCTTTGGATTGTGATGCCCCTGCTGTATTTCAATGCCAGACGGACCGTGGGGGAGGCAGGGAATCTTACCCTGGCTCATCTGCCCCTGTCTGAAGGGCCCTGGCTTGACTGCAGAAGAGCAGTCTCCACCCCCCAAAGATATGTATATGCCTTGGGACCCCAGGGGTTGGGTCCTGGGACCCCTCCTTTCTTCCTGAGAGTTCTGATCATGCTGGGAAAAGTGACTGTGATACTGAGGCACCACTGCCTTGCGAGGTCAAGGACAGTCAGTGGTCGCTGGGGTTCACAGGGCACTGCCACCCACGCATCGTAAACTCCGTTAGCCCAATTGCCCTGCTAAACAACTGCCTGAATACAGGCTTCAGGTTCCCCTGGACTCCAGCCGAGGCTGACCAGGTGGGACCATGGTGCTCATTAAGCATGAACGGAGGGAAGACCCAGTGGGGCCACCATTTCTGGAGTGGGACTGCTGGTGGCAGGTGCACAGATAACTTTCTCTCTCTGCTCAGTTCTCAGAATTCCATCTCCAGCAGCTGCGTTGGGGAGAATAGTACTTGCCAGGTGGAGGTGCCCCGAGTGAAGGGGCACAGTGGCACCTGGGGAAAAGGCACCTGGAAGGTCTCCCTGTGGCCCAGCCAAGCCAGGGTAGGACTCGCAGCGGGGAGGCAGGGCAGGAACTCTGCCACCGTGCTGGGTCTACCCATGTGGCATTTTGAAAGTGCCACTGTGTTTGCACCGGGCACTGTGTTTTCGAGTTGTGCTGCTGCACACGCTGACCGGAGCCGCGGAGGACAGGCTGGCCACAGCCCCCGTCCACACCCGTGACTGGGCCCTTTGCGTATGGGTTGTCGTGCCCAGTCTGAGCAGCTGCTCCGGCTTCGTTTGGCTCGGAGATTTGATTGTGTCTTGTCTCTTGGTGCTTACGTTTGTGGGCTTGGGACAGTGCTGTTGTGCATTTATGACCTTCTTGATAGCTCCTCACAGCTTTGGAACCTGGAGCAGATGAGAGAGGGTCAGGGCTTGCCCTCCACATGGGACTCGGAGGAACCTATGTTGGAGAGCTTAGTGGGAGACACTTCAGTCCCCAGCTAAGGAGGGTGAGACCCAGCCCCGTGCAACCCCAAGGGAGACCTAAGTGACAAGGGGAACAGGCTGGAGAAGAACGTGGGGGAAAGGAGATGCTTTGTACATATTTTGGGGTTATAATTTCTCTAAATTTTAAGAGAAAAAGTTTTGATTTATAAAAGAGACAGGCAGTAGTGTTAAACAGTGCATGTGACGGAAAGTTTTCTATGTTTTCCATGGTGTTGACATTATTTGGACTCTTGTGACTGCTCTCTGGTCTACATGACACCCTGTCTGGTAAGTAGGCTTCATTGCATATCAGGGCATAATTGGAGATGGGATTTATTATGGAGCGACTGCTCTGCCTAGTATAGGTGACCTTGAGATTATCTTAATGTCCTAAAGCATAATGGTGACTTCTAGGAAACAGCAAAGACCCCGTTTCACTGGCCTCAGGTATGTATGTGATGAGTGAGTAATGGCGGAGTAGAGAACAAAACCCTAAGGGTATGGCAGGGCCTTAGTGACAACAGGCTCCAGTTGTTAAGACAGGTTTGCAGCCACCCGCTGGGCGTAGAGCTTTGGGTGGGAGGAGGGAAGAGGTCTTTGTGGGTGCTCGTTTGTCTTAGAACCAGAGCTGTGAGGCTGAGTTCTCTGCTTGGGAAGCGGTGGTTTAGGGGCTCCTGGGAAGGAGGCGAGAGTGGCTGCTGAGCCAGCAGGGGGAGCTCCCCAGTGCAGGGGGGAAGATCGGGGTGCAGGGCCTTCCCCAGTCCCCCGGGAGTGCACATGGGACTGGCATTGGTGTCATTCTCTCTTGGGGCCAGATGGTTGGGTGTGGTGGCAGCCGGCCGGGCACAGGTTGGGTAGAGGAGGAGGGGGGACCCCAGCTCCTCACTCCACGTAGCTGACGCCCTTCTGCACACAAGCAGTGACACCTACCAGGCCTTCTCATTATCCATGTAAACCTACACGTCACAGAAATTTTGGAAAATCAAGTAGAGGAAAGAAAAAAGTAAAACTTAACGTTTTGATGTCTTGCCTTTCAGGCATTTTCTGCCCAACCATAGTTTCTTTGCATTTTGTTTTAGCATAATTGTGATACTAACTTCTGTGATGAGACAGTTTCGTGTGGTTGTTTGCACTGAACATGTCACGGCCATCTCCCCCGCACAGGTACTGACCTGACTGGTGTGGCCGGTGGCTGTGCTCTCCTACCAGGAGGCGCGGCAGTGCGGACCGCTGGTCACTAACGCTGTTACTAAGGCTTCTCTGTTGTAAATCGATGAGCATCTTCGTGCATAAGGCTATTTCCCAGTGTCGGGTGTTTTCCTTCAGATAGACTGCCAGAGGTGGGATCATTGAATTAAAGAATATGAAAACTTTTGAAGCTTTTATTACGTATTGACAAAATGGTTTCCGGAAATGTTTGTATCCACTTATACCGCCACCAGCAAGGATAAGTGCGTCCAGCTTGCAGTATTGGGTATTAGCATTTGGGTAAATATTTGCTGGTTTGATCACAAAAAAGTAGATTGTGTTTCAGTTTGCATTTCTTTGATTTCTAGCACAATTGAACATCTTTTCATGTTAAGCAGTTGCATTTCCTCTTCCATGGATTGTCACTGTCCTTTGCTCTGTTGACTGGGGTCTGATAAATTTGTATGAGCTCATTCTATATTAAAGATATTAACCTGGTGTGTGTGTCATATTTACTGCACATGTGTCCAGGGTTTTGCTTTGTGCGTGCGTGCGTGTGTGTGTGTGTGTGTGTGTGTTGTAACCTACCAAAATTTTGACATACTGTATGTAGTCAGTCCATTCCGCACTTAGCTCTGTGTCCGCTAGGCTATGACACAAGTTACAGGCCAGGCAGGTATGTTTCCTCTGTTGTGTTCACAGCTGTCTTGCTGGCACCTCTGACAGTGCCTGGCGCATAGCAGGCACTCAGTGCACGCTTGTTGCATTAGTCGCAGGAACCGATCTGCCGGCCTTGGGATCTGTAAGTGGGTAGATGATGCCTGCCGAGGAGCGGAGGGTCCAGCCCCAGTTCTCACGCCTCCGGCAGCTCTCAGACCATTCCGCAGCCTGCTCCCACCGCCGCTCCGCCCTAGGCCCTGAAGGCCAGTCTTTCTTCCTGCCTCCCTTCTCCTCACTCTCGCTGTGTGACGAGGGTGGACGTTGCTCCTCTTGGAACCCTCCCTGAACGAGCAGCCAGGCTGGGGGTGCTGGGCTGGGCTCCCGCCCACCCCACGCTCCCTCCCGCTACGTTACCCCCTGAGCTCCTGTGTCCCCAGCGCTGTGCTCCTTGAGGGCGGCGCTGCTGTGGGGTTCAGGGCCGGGCAGGGAAGCTGCCCGGTGACGGTTCCGTGGTTGAGCAGGACAACACGCCTGGGCGTCTTGTGTCCGTGTCACACAGACCAGTCACACGGCAGCCCCGTTTTCATTTCCTGTTCCAGGAGCCTGCGGGTGCCCGTGCATTTCTCTAGCAGGGGCCCTGTCGCCCGCGGCGCACGCGGCCACCCGCAGCTAGCCTCCAGGCTCACCGCTGGCTCCTCTCTGCCTCGGTGAGCTTTTTCCTGACGAACTTAATTGTCCAGCATTTATTAATTGATTCAGACCATAATAGTAATGAACACATATTACACACTTTAAAAATATACGGTATTACAGAGAAAAAATAATCTGCTCTCCCACCACCCAGAAAAACATGGTTCAAATTTCTGTATATTTTCTTCTGGTCTTTTTTTATTTGCAAATACACACGTGCACTCACACGTACACTATTACAAAGATCATTCCAGATAGACTGCAATTGAACAAAATTATGTTAGAATTTGTTATTTATGTTAGAATTTGATTCATCCTATAAGGTTTTTTGAAAATTCTGACATCATTGCAATACTCAGGCATCTACTCTGGGGCTAAGTGACGTCTCTCCACTCATTTAAATCTCATGTCCTGTATGAACTTTGCAGTTTTATCCACTTTATTATTTTTAAGATTGTTGATATGCATTTCTTTTTCCTATTGCAAGCGCAACATAGTTCTTTTTTTTTCCCCAATGGGTTTACTCCTGGTACATAATAGAAATATTGATTAATGTGCTATTTTCAATGCTGCCACTTGCAATGGACTGAAGGTTTGTGTCTCTCCAAAATTCATTAGTTGAAATCCTAACCTCCAGTGTAATGGGCTTAGGAGGTGAGGCTTTGGGAGGTGAGTAGGTCATGAGGGTGGAGCCACCATGAAGGGACATAGCATGAAGACAGTCAGCCGTCTGTGACCCAGGAGCAGTCCTCACCAGGCACGCACCTGCCAGCACCTTGCTCTTGAACTTCCCGGCCTCCAGAACTGTGAGAAATGTTTGTTCTTTAAGCCACCCAGCCTATGGTATCTTGTTATAGCAGCCTGAACTAAGCCGTCATCATACTGAAATCTCAATATTTTTATAAGTTGTAAAGTTAATTCTTTTGGATTTTTCATATAATCACATCTCTTGCAAATAATGGCATTTTTTATGACTTTGTAATATTTTATAATTGCATTTTCTTCTCTTGCTACATTAGCAGGCGTCGGGAGGAGACCCCTGTGTGCTTGCCGCCACACGCTGGCATGTAGGGTCCTTTTTTGGGGGGGCGGGGGAGACAGAGTCTCACTTTGTTGCCCGGGCTAGAGTGAGTGCTATGGCATCAGCCTAGCTCACAGCAACCTCAAACTCCTGGGCTCAAGGGATCCTCCCGCCTCAGCCTCCCGAGTAGCTGGGACTACAGGCATGTGCCACCATGCCCGGCTAATTTTTTCTATATATTTTTAGTTGGTCAATTAATTTCTTTCTATTTTTAGTAGAGATGGGGGGAGGGGTCTCAGATGCTCTTGCTCAGGCTGGTCTTGAACTCCTGACCTTGAGTGATCCACTTGCCTCGGCCTCCCAGAGTGCTAGGATGCCCTGGCAGTGGCCGTTCGACTCGGCGTCCAGCGTGCTCTGTTGTGTGTTGTCCTGTGTTCAGATGCTGGGGGAACCCGTGCACCTTTCTCTGTGGCTGGTTCCAGGAGAGGGTGGCTGCTGTCCCTTTCCTCACCCCAAATCATTCATCCACCCCGGCCTCAGAGGGGATGCTCTCAGTCTCTGGGCGGCCGCTCTGGTGTTGGGCTCCTGCTCTGGCCCCTCCCACGGCCGCCCCACACCCCTCGTCACAAGCTCAGCTCTGTGGTCTTGGCGCTCTCACACCTGGCTCTGCCACTTGCCCGCCTCTTTCAGGGGTCCTTCTTTATGTTCCAGAACCACCGGATGTTCGGGATTCCCCTGGGTTCACAGAAACCTGACGGTTACACGCCAAGCACCTCAGCGCAAACTAGTAGAAATTGCCTGCTCTCCCGGATCAGATCTCAGCGTTCTCGAAGACGACAGAAGCTCGTGCACCTCCGAAGGCCATCGCAGTCACAGGACACCTGCTAAAGCCTCCGCCAACCTTTCAAGAGAGGCTGTTTAATTTCGAATTATACACAGATAGCAGGATATCGAGCTGGGCTTTTCCTGTTGGCCCAAACTTGCGGCTAAGGCCCGAAGCTGAGGCTGAAATGCAGTGACTAAGCTGTGTTGTGAGCGTGGAGGGCTGCCCACAGCCATCAGCCACCACGCTTGCAGGAGTTTCTCAGACGTGCCGTTCTACCAGGACCCCAGTGCTGCACGGGCGGGCCGGTCCTTTTCCAACCCCGTTTTCTCGGCCCCCTGGGCGAAAAGCTAGACCGCATTTCCCAGCTGCCTTTGCAACGAGGTGTGGCTCGACAGCTGGACACTAGCCAGAGCAATGTGGGTGAGGGGTCCCCACGCACTGTCCCCTCCACCAGCTGGATTAACGCCCGTGGTCAGGGTGCCCTTGGAAACCAGGCAGTGAAGATTCAGGTCCATGAGATGGGAGAGGCCTGGGTCCCCGCGTCACTGGCTGGCGGGGACCTGCCAGCTGCATGGGGACACCCACTGTAGACTCCCCTGAAGGAGAAATAAACCTCAGATCTGGGTCCTTGGCGGCAGGCCGGGTGGGAGAGGTACCTGGCTGTGCCAAGCGCAGCGGAGGCCTGGTGCTGAGCGCCGCTGTCTTCCTCACGGGCGGAGGGCGGGCTTTGAGAACCCCCACAGAGGTTGAAGGCACCTCTGAGAAGGGGACAAGGGCATGTTGGTCCTTCTCTGGATGTCTGGTTGGCCAGTGGATACCTTGTGCCCATAGTATCCACTCCCCATTACGGTTAACGGGGTTGGCAGGACATGGGGACTGGCCAGGCAAGGGGAAGCCAGTGCCAACCCCGGCAGTTTCCAGCTTCCAGAACGCATGGACGCGAGACCCCCCAGCCCCGGCGCCTGCTGCCCTAGGGCCACCGGTCGCTCATTCGGTGGAACTGCACAAAGATCCGACCAGGGTGGACATCCAGTCCAGGACAGAGAACCTCACCCCCTGGGCCGCGGGGCTCGGTGCTGCAGCATTAGGGAAGCGCCAGCCCTGCCCGGGCGTGGGCCTGGGCTGGGTTCTGCCGGGCGGAACCTGCGGGTCAGAGTTCTCGCGGAAGGTGCTCCGAGCCCTGCAGCTGGCTAGGAATTCTTGTCTTAAGCACTTGGCTCTGTGCTTAGCTCATCGATTTCCAGCCTTAGTTATTTTCCAAAGCAAATACTCATGGCTGAAACTTTCTCTCCAAGCACTGCTCAGCTGCCCCCGTATGTTTGGATGTGCCTTGCTTCATCTCCATTCAACCCAAAATATTTTCTAATTTGCATGATGATTTCTTCCTGGACCTGTGAATTACTTACATGAGTATGTCTTAATTCAGATTTATTACTTTGTGTCGGATTCTTCTGTGTGACTTCAGTCCTTTGACTTTATTCAGATTTGTTTTTATGGCCAAAATAAGGTCAATTTTTTTTAAAAAATGTTTCATGTGTGCTAGAAAATGAGGCATTGTGCAGTGGGATGCTCGTTTCTTCATACGCCGATTGGGTCCAGTCTGTTGATTGTGTATTTCACACTGATTTTTGTCTGCTCATTGTATCAATTACTGAGACTCACCCCATGACTGTGGGATTTTTTGCTGCTCCTTATGTTTCCGTCTTTTTGGCTATATCGAGGCTATGCCGTGAGCTACATGCAAACATGAAACGGCCACATTTTTTTCTGGTGAGCATAACCTGTATCATTATAAAGTGTTTCTATATTCCAGTGATTTTTCCTCTCATGCTATTTTGCCTGCTAGTAATGAAGCCACACGGACTTTCTTTTCGTCAGTGTTTGATGGTGGATGCTTTTCCGTCCTTTTTCCACTTCCCTGATCCTTGAGCTTTGGATGTATCTCTTGTAAGTAGCACCTGGAGTTTCGCAAAATCATTCTGACAACCTTTGTCTTTCAACTGGAGAATTCAGCCCATTTAGTTTTAGTCGATTTTCTGGTTTAAATCTATTGCCTTACTTTGTATTTTTGTTTGTATAACCTCCTCTATGCTCACTTTCTGTTATTGCCCTTGGGGATCGATTATTTTTTATTATTCCAATTTTGCCCTCTCTTAGTTTGGCTGTTCTATTGTGGCTGCCCTAGAAATTTTGATACCCCTCCTTTGCATCCTAGTACAAAATGCTAATTGCTACCTTTCCACTTACCCAGGCAATGCAAGGACCTCAGATCTGTCTAACTCCACTTACCGCCTTCCCTAC